GACATCAATCTCTTTTCCCTTGTCCAGGTGATAGGTCACGTGGTTGTAGAAGGAAATGAGATTGGTCAAGCAAGATACATCACATGTTCCTGTTTTGTGTATTATTCTCTGAATATCTTAGAAAGTCATTTGTAAAATATACAATAAACTAGTTTTAGAGAACATGCTGCAAATTATGTTTAAGAGCACAATGCAATAGTGAAGAATTATCAGCCTACTCAGGTCATCTCCATTTTCAATTTTTAGCTTCTTTCTTAATTCTGTCATTCCCTGATTTATACCACAGGAAAACTATGCTGATTGGTTAAAAGAATATGTGCATAGAAAATATTCTCAACTAAGTTGTTAAAATATATGCTTAGAAGGAGAAAGCGTCTATAAAACAAGGACATAATGAATCATTATGACAATTGGACTACTGTACATGTATAAGAATTAAAATACAAAGCTCTCTATGAACAATAAATATATATATAAGTATGTAGAATATGCTGTGTTCTAAAGAGATAACATATGGATAGGATTAGTTACACACATGCCTAAGAGGTTTATGTTTTTCAAGCAATCTTAATCTTAGTTAATTTAGCATTTTTTATGGAATATATCCAGAGGTTAAGTAGATGCAAATCAACATTGAAAGACAGAGTATGAATACATATGTAAATCTTAGTGATGCTATTCTTACTGAATTCTGGAATGCTCTATGGCAGCTTTAATAAAAGCCTAAATGCTATGATAATCACCAGCAGATTTTAAAATTTGTATATTGACTCTAATCAAACTCAACTTGGACATTTATCTTGCACAATGGATGTTTATTTTGCTGGGATTCTTTGGCTCCAGCTGACTTCCCACCCCGGGGCAGGGGCTGGACTTGATGAGCTTCCAAGGTCCCTTCGAGCCCTAATGTCTATAATGTCAACCAGGCCCTTAAATATTTCTCCCACAGCAGGGAAACCTCTGTAAAAGAGGACAAACAATGAAACAACAAGTAAATTTTTCATGATAGCATTTTCAGTCAGGCTTACAAGGAAATGAAATAGGATGTCAAACCATGTAACACATATTTTAATTAGAATATTAAAGCGTTGTATGGGAATGTTTTATATCATCGAGATTCAGAGCAGAAAACTTCAAAGAGGAATTGCTGTTATTTCTACTTCAGTCAAAAAATAGGAACTAGATAAGCAAGTCTTTTAATTTGGGCATGATCCTGCCCAAATTTAGGCACTTTCTTTTCACTTCAGGAACAAGAATATACAAGTCAGATCTTGGAGGAAAAAACAAGGTCATTTATTTAACAATATGTTGTAACTGTGCGCTGACATTAAATGTTTCAGAAGACATATGGTATTCAGCTGGAAGAATGTAGCTATATAGGCATCCCCACCAGCCATAGCCCTAACAGAGTCATTATCTGATCAGCTAATCAATGCATTTTATGCAATTACAGTAGCATTAGAGCAATATTGTAGCCATGAAGGTCCAGAAATTATGTGAAAGACAAGGATTTCTATGGTGATATCTTTTATTCAACCAACTGTGTTGTTGGTCTAATAAAATATATCACTCTAAGAATGCATTACCTCCCTTTTATCCAACTGTGATTGGTATGCCTTTGCTTCATCTTTGTATATATTTCTATTTATGGGGTATCATATGATCTTAGCCTATAAAAGGCCGAGAAGCGATTTGTTTAGAACCTGATGCATTCC